CCCCGCGTGTTGTCTGCGGTAGCCGCGCAGTGAGGCGGCGCCATCCGCCCACCTGGCTGGGGTTGGTGGCGTCCTGAGCCCAGCGCCGTCTAACGGTCCCTGTCTGGCCCTAGGGTCACCAATGGCGGCAAGACCACGCTGGCCCACAAGCTCAGGCAGGCCCTGCCCAACTGCAGCGTGGTGCATCAGGATGACTTCTTCAAGGTAAGTGGCCGGTGGGGGAGGCTGTAGATGAGCCAGGACTCCTGCCACCTGGCTGGGGTTGGTGGCGTCCTGAGCCCAGCGCCGTCTAACGGTCCCTGTCTGGCCCTAGGGTCACCAATGGCGGCAAGACCACGCTGGCCCACAAGCTCAGGCAGGCCCTGCCCAACTGCAGCGTGGTGCATCAGGATGACTTCTTCAAGGTAAGTGGCCGGTGGGGGAGGCTGTAGATGAGCCAGGACTCCTGAGCCCCACACTCTGCTTCCCGCTCTTGGCCAGAGTTGCTTGTCACTAGGGCACCATGTGCTGTTGGGTGGGCTGGGACCAGCTGTGTGGCGGTGGATAAGCTCCTGGGCAGTGTTCTGGTGACTTTCCACTTTTTTGGAGCGCTCCATGCTAGTGGGAAGATAAAGGTGCCAAGTGCTTTATCACAGTCTCGTTACTGTTTCTTATCTTATTAGGAACAAACCTGGTGGGGGTGGGGAGGCGTTAAAGTTCAGATCTTTAATCTTGCTTTAAAATGAATGTTGAGCTTTGCCATAGCTGGTCAGACTAAACCTGTTCTCTTTATCACTATTTCAGCCCCAGGATGACATAGAAGTTGAAGATGGATTTAAGCAGTATGATGGTAAAGCTCTGCTTATTGAGCCGTCTATGTAGAATTGTAACTTAATAGGATAAGAAACTAGATGTATCTATCCGGGGTAGGCTGCTTTTTTCTTGGTGACTTGTCTGTTACTCATAAAACTTAATTACTTTTCTGGGCTTTTGTCTTAGTTATTAGTGCCTTGGATATGGAAGCTATGATGAGTACCATCAGTTCTTGGATGAAAAACCCAATCAAGTTTGAACGCTCACATGGCATCAATAACAACTTGGATGCCAACATATTTCAGTTTTCAGAGGAGAGAGAGGAAACAATCCATTTTCTTATTATAGAAGGCTTCCTTCTATACACTTACAGGTAAGGAAAGACTTACTAGCTGGCAGTCATCTTGTAATTCTGGCTTGATATGTATTTTCTATTAGGTAATGTTGCAGGAAGTCAAAATATGATACTTAAAACTAGAACTTGGCAAATAACTGATTTTTCTGTTTGCTGGTAGTTATGAAAAATACAAAATTGGTTTGAAACTAATTAGGGATGCTAAATTTTGATTACTCAACTAATCGAGTAGTCAATGGAATTTCTGTCAACTAATCAATTAGTTGATAAGGGTGGAGTGGGGCACTTGCTATCCTGGTTGCACCTCTGCCTTTAAAAGGAAGAGGCCAAGTGGGAACACAAGCAGTCTCTGCTTGTGCCAGATCCCAACTGCTGCGCCTTTGCCATTTAATTGTAGTAAGAGCTTCAGAGCTTTATTTGTTCAGCCTTGGGGCTCTTACTACATTTAAAAAGCAGAAGTGCAGCAGTTGGGCAACAGCATGAGTAGGGACTACTTGAGTCCCCTTTACACCAGGTTCCCCGCTACGCCTCTGCCTCCCTTGCCCCACTGCGGAGACATTGCTAGGGGAGCTGGCTTTAATAAACCAACATTAATACAGCTGACCCCTGCACTTACTACCTAATTGGTTCCTGGAGAATGGTCGTAAATCAAACCCTTATTTCCCATAGGCGCAATGTTATAAATGGCAGTTCCTTTCCTGGAAATCGGTTTCATATCCTAAAAAATACCAAAATTGACTACAGAAATGGAGGAAAACGAAACTAAATTGTTCAAATAATGCACAAAAATAACTAAAAAGTGAACTCCAATGTGGTGGAGACTTGTGCTGTTTACGCAGCAGCTGCAGACGGGCGAGTATGACTGACTTTGTATGTTTCCTGTTTTGGGATGATGTGTGGCGTCTGCGTCATACACTGTCATAAATGCGAGCTACGGACGTAAATTGGGGGTTTTTAGGAGCTATCTCGCATGGGGGGAAAAAAAGGTTGTAAATTCGGGGGGTTGTAAGTCAGGTTGTTTGTAAGTCAGGGGTCACCTGTAAAACATATTTTAAAAAAAACTTAACTCAGCTCTACTGCTAAACTTTTAAAAGTGGGACATAAAATTATAGGTATTGTCCTTACATGGTCATGTAATAGGGTACCCTTTTGACCATTGCTAGTGAGAAATACATCAAAGGAAGATTAAAATCCCACTAATGTTGCATCTCTAATTCTTATAGCAGATCAAACAGAGTAGCTGTGAAATGTACAAAAATTAGAGAATTTCTTTTTCAGACCATTGATTGAGATATTCGACCATCGATACTTTCTTTCCATTCCATATGAAGAATGCAAGAAGAGGAGGAGGTATGCTTTTTTTCCCCCCTTAAAGTGATAAGGTAACATGGGAATTACTACATTTTTATTTTTAAAGCTTTATTTGTATAGGTAGCAGTGGTGGGTATGCTTGAGCGAGAGAGATTTAGATTAGGCATTAGATTTTTAGGTTAGGCATTTAATTGCATAGTATCCTTGGTAGCTGAGACTTTCTTTCAAAGTTCTAGAAACATGCTAGCTGGCACTAAAAGCCAACAGGTAACGAAATGGGCCACAAAGTTTATAGAACGAGAGTCCAAACAACCACTGTGGTCTGAAATGTTTGGGATAGGGCTTTCTGGACTTCAGGTAATATCTTGCTATTGTCTTCATTATTGTGCCTTCAGGATTTAAGAATTGCCTAAATGAGTAGTTTTCTGTAATGGTACAATTGCCAGTCAGTACTCTGCTCATTCAAATGAATAGTATACAGTTATTGATTCTTATCATTGCCAGGAGCTAAGGTTTTTGGCCAGATTTTAGCCATTGGTATAGCAGTATTGGTGCAAAATCCTTTAAGGAAGGAATGCAATCTTTGTAGTGGAAAAACTTACTCCTTCCTGAAAGTAGGTTATGCCTCACTGGTAAATGTGGGTATGAATGGTTAACTGTTGGAGGCTGCTCCTGTCCCCTGGAGCCTGCTGCAGGCCCTGTCTGCAGCTGGGGTAGGAGGTGGGGAAGATGTCATGCCATCCTGGCTGGAATAGCCCCATCATTACATTTAACTGGTTCTCCAGTTAAACTGGATTTTACATCTCTACTGGTGAAAACAGCTGCTTTGCCTTCCTCTGCTACAGACTGGACACTCTTGACTTTTAAAACATGAAAGTTATTTTTCTGCCTCATCCCATGCTTTAAGACTATAGCATTTCTTCATATGAACTAATCTTGTCATGTCAAGTAAGGTCAGTTGATGTAGAATCTGCAAATAAGAAGCTGCAACCTAACATACCTTTAATGTTACATTGCATTCTATTTATTTGTGACTTTATTCAATTACTTTGCAGCGGATACAGAACGCACCATGGACAAAAAATCAGAATTAATGTCAAGATTATTTTGATTTGGTTATGAGTAAAGAGATTGAGTGCACTGGATCTAGATTTCTTACTATATAACACAAGAAATGTTTATGTACTAATTTCTTAATTTCTAGTTCAAGGAATTACACTGTACCAGATCCTCCTGGATTGTTTGATGGCCATGTCTGGCCCATGTATATTAAACATAAGAAAATAATGGAAGACCTCAAAGTTGATGTGGGTAAGTATTCCTGGATTGTGGAAACTCAAGACTTATGTATAGGGAAGTTTGTTTCTAGTGTCTGCACTGGGAAAGGAGATATAATTTAGGGAGTAGATCTGAATCAGTGCTGCTTGTGATGCATGTAAGGTAGTTAAATTTCTTTGCGATTGGTCTAGTTCCTGGCCTCTTTAAAAAATATGGAGACTTAATGAGATTGTAATTCTAGGATGTTTTAATTCAGAAATCTCATTTTTAACATTTTAAAAAAAATATTTAAGTTCAGTTGGATGGAACAAAATCAAAGGAGGAACTCTTTAATGAAGTTCATGGACAGCTCCAGAACAAGATTGAAGAACTGTTGATTATGCAGGTAAAAACTAAACTTAATGGTTAAACATACTTAACTACAGTGGCAAACTGGCTTACTTGTTCACTTAAGAAATCTTGACTTAAAAATTTTTCAGAAATTCAAGAGTGGTTAACAGTTGCAAACTGGTGCACTGTCAGACAGGAAGACAAATCAGTCACTTGTGTAGACCTTAGTAAATAAGCTTAAATTTGTGTTTAAATGTATATTGTCAAACACTAAAACTTCCTTCTTTTTACAGAGCTAGACAAGCAGCTGGTGGATTCCTGTGATCTAAAAAGAAGCCTGTTAACATTAACTTATTTTTATGCATACCAGACTTTGCTAGTTAGTCTTCAGCTTCTGTTAAGACTTTCTTTTCACTTTTTAAAATTGAACTTGTTCAGCTTTCACTTGAAACTCATGGAGTAAAACGTGACCTTTAATAAAGCATTTCCCATCCATGATGTCTCTGTAGCTTAGTTTGAGACAAGCTTCTGTATCTGAGATACCGTGAAAAGTAGTTGGGCCCTTGGAATGGGCTTTGTTTTAGGCTTATTTTGAATTAAATTTAATAGCACACTTGCAGCTGAAAGTATTAGGACAGTGTCATTGTAAATAACCCCATACCTTTACATTACAGTTGTATTTTTACGTTAGTTGTATTTTTTTTACTTCCCCATCAGCTTATTTTTATGCTGTTTCTTTTAGCATTGAAGTGACAGTACACTTCAGATACCACGGAGTGCTAGTATGTAGTAAGGGCAGGTAAACTTGTAGAAACTCGGTGATTAAAAAAAAATTGTAGTGAAATGAACTCTGGTAGGGTAAATAGAATACATTTTTCTAAAACTCAGTGTCTATCTTGAAGTTGGTAGTAATGGAGAAAATAAGGTGAATTTGATACTTGCTCTTTATAATACCCCCTCCCCCCTATGCACACTTCCATTTACTTGCATGGGAATATATTATAGGAGCAAACACTAACAGGATGAACCTAGAACTAGTTTGACATCTTTATCACTAACCTTCAAACTAGCATGACCAAAAGTTAGCCATGGAGGGTGTTAAGTTTATGGTACAGGAACACACAAAATAACTGGTAAAAGTCTTAGGATAGCGATATTACTCTACCTGCAGAGAGACCTGTGGCACCTTAAAGACTAAGGCTATCTCTAGACCTCAGGCTCCTTTCGGAAGAGATCTTCTGAAAAAAGTTCTTCCAAAAGAACATCTATACAACAAAAGCGCATAAAAAGTCTGCTTTTTTGAAATATAGTGTCCACGGTGTATGGATGCTATCTTGCATTTAAGCTGTGATTACTATGGACGGAGTGGCCACCAGGGCACTTGTGCTTTTTCCTCTTCGTTTAAAGGAACTCCCTGTCCACATATACCTTTTTCTGGAAAAAGGCTTCTTCCTGTTGGAAAAACCCATTGTGATTTTCTTTTTTTTAAAAGAATGCGATTGCAATGTGGATGTAAGTGAAGTTTTCAGAAAAATAACTTTTTTCCAAAAAAAAAAACAAAACCTCTGCAGTGTAGACATACCTTAACCCATGTGTTAGGGCCCGTGTTCCCTCTAAATTGTGCTGCAGTAAAGCGTCACAGGTAATTCCTCAGTCCTGACCTGTCAGAGGCTCAGGGCCAATAGCCCCCACCCCCTCCAAATAGAGCTGACTAACTGGGTGGGGCTAATAATCACATGTGAAGCTGTGTTGCCCTGCAGCTGAGAAGGAACGCTGATGTGGGTAAAACCCACTTCAAGTGAATTGTAGCAGAAATTAGAGGCAAAAATTTATCAAGAATAGGACCAATGTTAATGAAGCTAATCAAGTAAGCATGTCTTACACAGCAGCTGATGGCAGTTGAGACTCGAGAGAGGAAACTCCCTTTCCAATGGGTTAGCCAATTTCAATCCCTTCTGTCTGGTTATCTACTACAACTTTAGAGGTCTGCACAGGAGGACAGAGTAAATTCCAATGTAACACAAACTACTGGTATTTGTTTACTCCAATAAAATGCTTCCTTTAGAGAAAAATGTACTTTCTCCATGTTCTGACTAATAGTAAATCTTCCCTCTATTTAAAAAAAAGTCTCAACTTGTGATAAGAGTCTGCTCTTTTATCCATAGATGCAAACTCTCCAGTTTTTAGAGTGTAGCAGCCAGCTGTTGACAAAGTGGAGACTTCGACAACAGAAAACTCTAAGCATGTTTCTGCCTGGGAAAAGAAGACAAGACAGGAACTTATGCACACTTTGTTAAATGCTTTTAAGAGCTCTGATCAGTTATTTTCCATGTCCATTTAGGCATGACAAGTAGTCATTGCTTCTAATTAAGCCCATTGAGACCTAGGTTACATACTAGGGGAAAACAATCTGTGGAACAGGTTTCCATGAGAAGTTGTGGAATTCCCATAAAACAACCTTCCAAATAAGAAAAAAACTTGACAACTCTGATGAACAATTATAGGTTTATTTGATCTTGACAGAGGTTTAGCTTATTGTACGTTGTCCACCTCTACATTTCCATGAAACAGTACAGCTCCAGATTCTTCTGCTGAGCATAAAACCAAAATGTTAACGTTACAGAAGTGCACCCTCTTGGAGATGCCAGTTCATCTACACTTGGCACAAGTACAGTGGGTTTTCCACAAGTACTGTCCCTTGTCTTGCTTTTGCTCTCACCCTGGATATTTAGAGCTTTATTTTCATCTGTTGTACCAGGGTAAATCAGGTGTAACTAGATTTGGCAAATACTAGTGTAAATGACAAATGACCTGCCTAGACTTTCCCCTTTATCCTGTTTTTCTTGATTAAGCCTGATCAAGGAAAACTAGTCATGTCTTCCCACTGAAGTACATAGGGTACATCTGTCTTTGCTCTTAATCTGTAACTATTGCATTTCTTTGCTTTTGAGGACTTACTTCTCCAAGCTAGACTATATCTACACTACACTTTTTTTCAGAGAGGTATGCAAATTTGCTTACTTTTTTATAGCTGAGACTGGGCCAAATTTTGGAAAAACTTTATAAAACTCCTTCCTTGTGAAACAAGGTTTACAGGGTTTCCAAAAGAGCGCATCTGCTCTTCTGAATTTTTTTTTCAGAAGAGCAGACACCTTCCCTGGATGCAGTGGAATTTTTCTCAGATACCTCTGGAATCCCAGAAAAACTCCGTAGTATAGACACAGCAATAGATGTTGCTGGCTATTGCTACAGCATTTTGTGTTGCAAACAGAGGGAGAAGAAGGTTAGCATGCCTCAGTACTCTTCCTCCATTTTTCATGACTTTAATGGTCTTACCTTTGATCTTGTTTCCAAATGGTGGAAGTTGCAGTTCTGGCATCTAACCTACTAGCCAGAGTTGACAACTGGAAATGCAGGATGTTAATGAGAACTGAGAGATCCAAATTAGTCTCTTCTCCATCACAGACTGACACTGAGCTAATCTACTTTGTTCCTTATCTCCAAAAGGAACATTGTGAGGGACTCTGATGTAAGTACTGTAGCTAGAACTCTATCCTTAGTTTCCTAGAGTTGCAACTGCTGAAATTCTTCATTTTGGCTCTCCTTTACTCCTATGGAGCTTTTTACTTAGACCTGCCACCATTGTTCTTTAACTTTTCCCACACCTGAGTAGAATGAGTTTTGTGACAGCTTCAAATTGGTTCATATAGAATTCATATGGCAGAAGTAAGGCCAAAGGATTCTGAATGGGGGGGGGAGGAGGTTCAGGTTCTGTGGGGGAAGGGGCTTCAGTGTGAGGGTTGGCTCATCTGGGTGGCTCCTGGCTAGCAGCATTAAGACAGGCTGCCTTGTGCCTCTGTCCTGGGACACCATACTGTGCCCTGGAAGGAGCCAGCAAGTCTCACTGGGGGCTGATAGGAAAGCAGGAGGGGGATGGGTGTGAAGACCCACTGTGTGGTGGGGGAGAGGAGAAAAAAAAGTGGAGGAATACAAGAAGTCCCTGCTTTGTGCAGTGTTTGAATTATAGAATCAGCAGGAGGCATACCCCGGTTACAAGTATTTAAGGGAATGAAATCCTTTTAATATGACAAACTATGAATAAAAGAGGTCTCACTCAACTATCAGTATTGCATACAGCTGAATTTCCCCTTACATGTCAGTTTAAGTCTGGCTCTGAGCTAGTCTGAGATTGTCAGGAAAAATTGATGTAGGCACCTGTTCTATGATTGTGAAATCCGAACTTCCACAAACTTGAGGAAGTGACAATCATACTGATGGCTGAAATGACAACTGTGATAGCCCAATTACCTCAAAACAGGTAATTTATTCCACGATAGAGACCCAATATTTTGAACTGAACTAGGATTTAGATAACTTGTCTGCCTGTGCAGACTAATAGAGGATATGGGAAAAGTTTAAAGTGATACATAATCTGTGATATACCATCTATGAACTGTAGCTCCCATCCTTTCATACTCACTTAAGTACCTAAAATAACAAATCACATGCAATATGCCTAAGTGGAATCTTATTAAAGCCACAATCGATTATTTAGAGTTGGGTTTACACTCATGCCTTCAGACACCATTCTGATGCTGTATCCATCATTAATAGATGATAGCTGATGTCACTTCCACCGTATTGTTTCCACCATAAATCACAATGACATTTAACAGGACATCTTGATTTATTTTGAATTCAAGATTTAAGTCTCAAGAAATGGGCCTTACATACATCCACGTGCAATATCCACCGCAGTGTTTGCTTCTTGAGACAAAATGCATGCATATTAAAATGGTTTCTTTTTTTACACTTAGTTCTGGCCAGTAAGCACAGTCGACTGCATCATTACTTCAAACCAAGATGCATTAGTTTTCTTATAGGAGCAGGTCCTCCCCAGTAGCCCCTAAGGAGAAGGGGGGAAAAAAAAGTCTTAGCCAGTGTATGCTACATAAATTAGATAGCTACCACAACAGCAGGTAAAAATACAGTGCTTCAAATCTTCTTTCAAGGAGCAGGGGTTTTGGGAATAGTTTCATGGTTTTACTACTAGTTTGCATTTAGATGAGCAGAAACATATGGAAGAGTTCTAAGAGCACAATGGGGTTTTGCTGTGGTAACATTATTTCCAGCCCTGATTTGGGGAAAACTATTCTTGTGACAGCATAAAATGCCTAGAATGGTCAAAGAAAGACAAACATTCTCACTCTTAATGAGAAAGTGGGAATGTTTAAACTGTTTGGGCTGACAAATCCAGCAATACTAGATGGTGATGGAATAAAAAGCCAGAAGTGTTCTGATGTACTGTGGCTTAAAATGAGATTATTCAACGAGTTGCAAAGGTATTATAGGTGTGTTATTAATAGGGTCACCGCAGGAGACAAAACTCATTTGTATATATTGGAATACTTACTTTAGTAGTCCGTTCCAATAAAGAAAAGGCATTAGATCAGCTTTCATGTAGTACATGAGCCGTCTCTCCTTACTCTGGTCAATGGGAAATGTTTCCAGAGGCTGAGCATTGTAGTCAAATTCTGCTAGAATCACACTATTATAGCCCGTTACAATGGGACAGGAAGTGTATCCATCATACTACAATGAAAGGCATTTTTTCATAATAATGTACAGTTTGCACAAAAAGAAAGTGATACAAGCAAGCTATGACAATGGGATTTATCAAAAAAAAATTTCAAAATGAATTTTGAGGTTGTGAAAGATTCCAGCACAAGTGACACTAGAAACTGAGCTTTTCAAAACAGATACCAATACACGTTTCTCTATAATGCTGTACCAATAGGCCTCAGCCTTGACCTAGAACAGAAATCATTCAATCCTTCTGAGGCTGCCAAAAATGTTGCAGAGTCAATGACAGTATTGTGGCTGTGTGGAGATGTAACTACTTTCCCTCCCTCTGAACTTGAGCCAATAGTCACTAGACAGGAGCTTCTGTTCTCCCTTGTGCAAAAGTGTAATTTGAAAAGTGGCACATTCAAAACTCATGAAGAAAGGATCTACTTTTCCAGTCCAATATGTAAGAAGCCTGTTGATCTCAGAGACCAAGAATTTAGCATGATTCAAAGAGGGATAGGACATTTTTATGGCTAGCAAGTGTATTCGGAGAGATATAGCTAATGCTAACAAATCTTGGGAGGGATATTAAATCTCAGTCTCAAAGGTACAACCCAATTTCTGTTTAGGGTTCTCAGGGCAAATTATTTGGTGGCGGCTACTTTCATACTATTTCCTAAAATACTTTAGGGAATTTTTTTATTATTTTATATATTTATGTCTAAGAGTATGTTTACACTACAGAGTTTTTATGTCCACACTGCAATCATGTTGAGGAGGAGGAGGGAGGAAGAGGAGGTTTTTTCCGACACTGGTAAACCTGACTGAGGAAGAAGCCTTTTTCCGAAAGAGCTCTTTCGGAAAAAGGTGTGTGGGGATGGGGAAGAGGGAGTTCTTTTGAAAGAAGAGGAAAAAGCACAGGTGGTGTCCTGGTGGCCACTTCATCCATAGTAATCACAGCTTAAATGCGAGAGTGTCCATTGAGCATGGATGCTCTTTCAAAAAAGCAGATGGCTTTTTTGATGCATTTTTGCTGTGTAGACACTCTGGGAAGAAGGTTTTTTCAGAAGATCTTTCGGAAAAGCTTCTTCCGAAAGAAGCCTGCAGTCCAGACATAGCCTAAGTCATTGTAATTTATTTATTCCTATTTCATAAGTCTGTTGTGGAAAAAAAATACAAGTATCACTTTTCACAGCAGACTTATTCCACTGAAGCAAGCCTGGAGACAAACTGAGCCCTGGATGGAAGGAGAAGCAGTGGGAGAAAAGAGCCTGAAGCCCCATTGACTGGGGGATAGAGTCCTAAGCTACATGAGCAGAGGACTGGAGCCCAAACCAGTGGCCAGTCTGCGCCAACCTGTAATCCTAGGGCTGAAGCCCATAAGTGAGCTCCACTACTCCTGGAAAGGTGGGGAGCTCCTGCTCCTCCAACATTGTGTCCCATGTGTCTCCAGAAAGGGGAGATAGGACCTGATAGCTCCTGGTTGCCAGGGCCACCAATGCTAGAGCAGTGTATCCAGGAACAACAGGGAGGGGGAGAGGCTGCTGCTTTGCCTCCCCCGCCCAGTCTTCCAAAAGTCAGCCCAGGAAGCTGTAGCCACAAGAGAAGCTCCTAGTGGCCACATTTTTCAACTGTAAAGCGCCCAGCACGAGAGGCCCCCTTATTTGGTTTGCCTTTAGGTACTACGTATAGAGAACAAAATGAGACCAACTATGTGCAGAAGGGAGATGCGGTTTAACAGCTGCCTACAGTGGGCATCTGGCACTTTCCTTTGAAGCATTGGCAGCTGGTCACAAATCTTCGAAAATGCAATGGGCATTTCTTTGACTTTGTTTTCCAACATCAATTTGTTTAACAAAAAATAAAATTGTAAATGCTACTAGAACAAGGCACTCCACTGCTCAGACTTCTCCCCCGGGGAGAAAGTTGTAGAGCAAAACAATAGTTGTGTAGTCACACTGCTTAATGCACTGCTGGTTAGCAGGTAGTACATTATTGAGTGGTTTAAGACTACAATTATTGGTCAGTGCAGACAACTTTTCGTCGTCTTCCTACTTAGTCAGCAAAGCCAGTGTATCCTTGGGGCTAGACTAGGTTTTGTACAGGGAGGTGAAAATTTAAGGTTAAACAGTGTCAATTTGTAAAGGGTCTTGCTTTCGTCCACCTCCCCTGGTACTGTGCAGCTTGCTGGCCTTTAAATACAAAAAACAAAACTCATCTGATATGAGAATCTTGTATAAACACTCGTTAGTTTTAAGTCCCCTCAACTACTATTAGTTTTCTTGGATTCTCTATATTCTTTACACATTTCCCCATAGGATTATCATAATGTTGGCTTCAGGGTAACTGACAACGTTCTGAATTTACAATTAACTTTCTTCCTTCAATACCTTTCTTTAGAAAATAATTAAAAAAAATTCAGGATCAAAGAATTGTGACTAGATGGAGGCGAGAACGATATTGTCTGTTCCTTTGCATCGGCTAATGTTGACATGAGGACAATGCTTTCTACCCACTTTATATAAAAAACTACTGTTAGAGAATAATTCTAATAAGGCAATTTCTTAAATAAAATACCTTTTTAGTTGGCAATTGGTTCTTCATTACCAAAGAAATTGTTTTATCTAGCACTGCAGACTGGGCAGCTACATAAGAGATAAAAAGTCAGTTATACAACTTCGGTTACATTGCAGCTGAAGCATTTTCCTGCTACAAATAGTATTTGCACTGTAATATGATAGTACAGTACATGGAAACAGTACCATCCAGTTTAATACAAATAATTAAGTTTTTTAAAAGTTGTATATTTTCCAGTATAATTATCTAGTTGGATTTAGTTTTCTCTCATTATTCCCACAACAAATATTGGTGCATGTTTGTGAAGTTTGAACTTCCTATTTGGAGAAACAGGAGGGGGGAGTTTTTCATTTCCAAAATGGTTTTTGAAGCTGTATGCTAAAGTTCCATCAGGCTGATATGTTAAAAAGGGAGCTGTGACAAGCTATAGCAACATTGTCTACGCTGGGTTTAGTTTGATACATCATTCATTTTAGGGGCACATTTTTCTTATACCAATAAATACAGTTTTTGTAGCCTTAAACCATTATTGTATTTCCATATTCTACAACCACAGTATTTTACATTCATATTTCAGCCATGATAGGCACAGGCCTAACATGTATTTTGTACAGTTCATATTCTGTACTTGCAGTCACTGACCATGGGATCATTTGCTTATGACAGTCTGAGCACTCAGATAGCATATGCATGTACTTTGAGACACATTACAAAGAGTTGCATGACTGAAGGATGGAGTAGATCACAGTCATGTTCATTTTTCATAGCTTATCGTACTCCATGTCAGTGCCAGAAGGACAAATGAAAACATGGATCAGAGCTGTGGGATACCACAGTTCTGAAATTACATACACAGTTGAAATGTGTTATCTGTAGGCCATATTGTAAGTATCAGGAAACTGTTAAAATGGGCTTGTAATGATTCCTTTGTTAAAAGTTTCTCTCTTACCACAAGGCTTAAGTCTGTTTTTTCCAAAATGGAACATGCACATGTAACTTTTTTTAGTAATTTTTTTTAAATGCTAAAGGGGACACTGAACTACTATACCGATAGCTGCAGCTGTTTTTGATGTTGGAAGATTGGTGCAGTCTCCAAGACCAAACACATTATGGTATTTTTTGTGTTGCAGAATTTCCTTATCTATGTCTAACCAGCCAGCTGTATCTGAAACGGGACTGTTCATGAGTACATCAGGCGGTCCCATAGGTGGTGTGACATGAAGCATTTCATACTGGGCACAGAAAGAAACAAAAACAGCTAAATAAATGAATTCAATGAACAAGATTAAAACACATACCTTTATTATAGCAGGTCAGATCTGGGGAGGGGGAAGTTTAAACAGTGAGGGAGACAAGGCTCTTTAGCCTTGTTACAGTCAAATGTAAGGTTCAGCTTAGTATTTCTGAGTACATCTTTGCTATGTGCTTAAAGCCTGGTAGCCAGTTACTGAGTAGCTGTGCTACTGAAAAAATTGTAGTCATAGCTGAACTTCCTCTCACCATTCAACCCCACTGAGTGTGAAGATCCTGCTCAGAGGTCTAAGAGGGAAGATTGCCAGTTTAAACTGGGATAGCCTGTTTTTGTTTGTGTTTGAAGTTACTCAGTTTTCTGTATACTCAAATATATTTGGGAGGTGAAGAGGAAATCTCAGTTGATAGTTTAGGGAAAAAAAGGGGGGGGGGGAGGAGAAATGTAAGACCCAACTGAAAGCTTTTCCCTTACTGACCTGATAAACCTCAGTCTCTCCAGGTTTGTCCAAATTCTCAAATACAGCTTCTTGTTTGTCTGCTCGAACCTCAATGAGATTATGTTTGTAGTTAACAGTAATATTCCTATCCTTAATTATCTCCAGCAATTTATTGGCATACTTTTCTACAGCAAAAATGGATCCAAGTGAAGTATTGAAGATGATGTTGGCTTTGGCTCGTTTTCCTGTCTGGGTAGAAAAATTAATTTAGCAGCAAACAGAGCACAAAAGTAGTAGAACTGGATAGAAACACTTGTAAATGAGTGCATACTGTTTAGCTGCAGCTGTTTTAAATTTTCTGATGTTACACATTTTAACTGTTTGAATGATTGGAGCTGAATCATTTCAACATTTGATCCCTTCAGTTATCTTGTCAGAAACTAGGTAAGGTTGGTTCTTTGGTTGAGAGCTCCTAGGAATACATTGATGCCACATGAAGTGTGGTAGCGATCCATCATTGGGTATCACCATTGAGTACTAAGTAAGTGTCCTAGCATAGAATTAAGGAGCACAGCGTTTTGAATGACATGCAAAACAGAGGGTTTAAATCGGGGGGGGGGGGGGGAGACCCTCAGGCCCAGGGGCCACATGGGGCCCCCCGCCTGCCTGGATCTGGCCCTCAAGGCTCAGGGATCTCCCTCCCCCCACCCCCACACACACACTGGGGGAGCCCATGCCAGTGCTCCAGCCCCATGCCACCCACCCACAGGACTGGAGCACACAATCTATTAGGTTCTGATGTATGAGGGGAATATGAGGAATGCCTTTTTCCTTCTCCCTTGTGTGCAGCCTCCCCCCCCCCCCTCCGCCAGCCTGATTTTTCTGTAGGTCAGCAGCCTCTGACCCAAAAAAGGTTCCCCGCCCCTTGTTTAAATACTTACCTATTAAAGTTCCCCTGCTGGCACTGTTTGCTAGAATGCTAACCCTTGTGTTTTGGCCAGACTCCTACTTGGTCATTTCATTCTGTCTACACAGATTCCCCTTGTACTTTCAATTGGGTACAATCATATTCTTTGCATCACTTCCTAAGCTGTGTGGCACATTTTAATAGCTAGTGCATTTAAGTGGCTTCTGTCAGCAGAATGTGTGTAGGATTCCAAGAGCAGGGTACATTCCTTAGGATGAAAAGTGTTATAAAAATACAGGGTTATTCATTATTGGTGTTTTAAACCTTTGTTTATATATTACAGGCCAGATCCTGGTCCTGTGATAGCTCCTTTGGTGCCATAAAGCTTACTTAGCTAGCCACTGAGTACTCCCACAGCATAGGAAAGTCACCAGCTAGCACAGAGCTAGAGAACTTGACACCATGTCTCCCTCCAAGCCAACGTAAATGAGTGGAAAGGAGTGTGGTTATCCCCTGCTGCACTCAGTCTGGCTCCCTGGAATAGAAGGCCTTGGACTGCTGAAAGTTACATTGGGGAATGAACTGGCTCTCTGCTGGCCACAGCATCAGGGAGCCACAATGGTGGCTTAGAGCAGCGTTTCCCAAACTATGGGCCACGGCCCGGTATCGGGCCGTGAAAAAAAATACCGGGCCTCAGCATGGCTGCTGGGAGGGGAGCAGAGCGGGGTGGGCTGGGAGGAGGTGGGGGAGGAGGGAACAGGCTGCCGGGAAGCAGAGTTGGGGCAGCGGGGCTGTCCCATGGAGATCTGGGCAGGCATGCGGGCGCTTAGAGCAGCGTTTCCCAAACTATGGGCCACGGCCCGGTATCGGGCCGTGAAAAAAAATACCGGGCCTCAGCATGGCTGCTGGGAGGGGAGCAGAGCGGGGTGGGCTGGGAGGAGGTGGGGGAGGAGGGAACAGGCTGCCGGGAAGCAGAGTTGGGGCAGCGGGGCTGTCCCATGGAGATCTGGGCAGGCATGCGGGCAGCCGAAGCAGGGCTTGGGGTAGGGGGGCTGTCCGGCGGCGGCGATCGGAGAGGGCAGGCAGCGGAACCAGGGCTGCATGGGGGAAGGGGGAGCTGGCTGAGGGAGATCAGGAGGAGGAGGATGGGAGAATCAGCTGCCGGAAGCAGGGCTGGACAGGGGCAGAGGGGCTGGTGAGGGGAGGAGTCGTCGTGGGAGCAGGGCTGACCGGGGGAGATTGGTGGGTGGCAGGGGAAACCGGCCGCTGGAAGCAGGGCTGGACTGGGGAGATCGGGAAGAGAAAGGGGAGGAAGCGGGACTGACCTGGGCACATGCAAACCCTGGCAGACCAGTGAGTCTGGCCGGGGATTCCATTCCCCTCCCCCGCCCGCCCCCAACATACCCTCCCTCGAGTAGTTGTGAACTGTCTGGCAGGTAGGCACACACAGGCAGCGTGAGAACATCTACCAGCCAGGCAGTTCACAGCTAAGGACTGACTGATACACCTAATTATATTAAAACTTACCTAATTAGAAAATACCAGGCATTTTATGTCTGGTAATTTCTCAATTTTTCCTGGACAAAACATTCAAATACCGGACTGTCCGGTACAAAACTGGACACCTGGCAATCCTACCCTTCCTTGCACCCTCCCTCTTAGCCAGATACCCTACCCCCAATCTGCTCCTGCTTCCGCCTCCTGAAGTGCTCCTGCTCCTGAAGTGCTCCTGCGGCACCGGGTCCCCCAAGCCCTGGCACAAGCTGGATGGAGGATGCAGCCAGGTGAAACACTGAAAATTTATTCATTTTTCATTAATATGGTTTTATATTTTTGGGCTGCAAAAGACAGTACAAAAAAAAACAGGTTCAACTAAAGTAAAAGTTTGGGAAGCCCTGATCTAGCCAGCTTTCTATCCATCGTACAGTCCCATGTATTCAATTCATATTCCCTTAACTTGCTGGCAAGAATATTGTGGGTGACTGTATCAAAAGCTTTGTTAACGCTGGCACTGGAGGCTTTGGGAGGACCAGAAAAAACTTATTTGAATATTCATCATTTGCTTAATGAATATGCAAATGAATGTTACCAGTCCTCCAAAAGCTCGTGAATGGATTTATTGGTCCTTGTGTCAAAAAGTTTGGGAACCCCCGGCTTAGAGCATCCTGTTTTCAGCTGCAGTGAGCCCTGATGGTTAGTTTCATAGCAATAGCAACTCAGAGAAGTTAATCTGCAAACCAGTTACATTTTTAATGTAAGTCACAACATCTTTTTCACCTCCAGGCTTATTTCTGTCAAAATTTCAACATGGTCCCCATAAAGTAAATATGATCTCCAGCATTGTTAGCGGGCATCAGTAGGGAGGTGATGAAATACGTACCTTTCTTAGATAGGCCTCTGACAAGTACATGATTTTCTGAGGAGCCCCTCCACATTTCACTGGAGTGTTTGGATAAGTGAAAATGGCATTTCCTTCCTTGAAGTCTTGCAAAGCCTTCCACGTTTTCTCTACTGTATGGACTGAATAATTGGAACCTATTTTAGGATAATTAAAACCCTCAGGCAAACCTTTGATCTAAAACAAAAGAAAACAAGACTTATTAAAAAAAATCTAGGTAGAACAAATCGATGTAAAATGTTTCCTCTTCAGATATTTTGTAATCTAGAACATAGAGCATTTGGGAAACTAAACTTTTAGCTAATGGTAGATCTCTTCCACTACACCTTAGTTTTTAAAAAGGGCTCTGTGAGGGGGCAGTTCTCCAAAGTGAGTGTTTGTGAAAATTAGCTGTATAAAGTAAAAAGCCCAATATTATAACAGTTGTAATCATAAACATTGCCAGCAGAGTGCGTTTGTGTTATATAAAATATTGTAGCACTGGGCTAGTGCATAGTGAGAGCATGGAAGTAAAGAGGACTGACTTGTTTTCACTGTCCAAAGTGACTGAAGTGTAATAGTAAACACAACAGCTTAAGGAAATTTTATTTTTCAAAATATTTGTCATCTGATGGCTATATGTAGCAGAACTTAAGACCTCTTGGGCAGTTTAAAAGTAGACTATTTGTATCCCGAAACATCTCTCATCATTGCTTTATCTGAGCAGCAATTTACCCTCAGGACACTCTTACAAGGAAGGGAATTATGCCCTGATTACAGTTAAGTAGGGCCCTACCAATTTTACAGCCATGTAAGGCATGTCATGCAGTGTGAAATCTGATGTCTCCTTGTTCTTAGAAGCACCCCAGCAAAGGGAGTGTCTAGCTCCAAGTGGACAGGGAAGGGACAGAACGGAAGCTTTTGCAGGTAGAGTAGAAGTGGGCAAAAGGGCCTCCACGGGCTGGATTTGGCCTACCAAGCGAGTTGATCCAGCCCGCGGAGGCCTTACTGCAGTCAGGAAAAGTACCCACGAGCAGCCATTCAGAGTAAGAGCAAGTATTGTCCCTCCCAGGACAGCAAGGACTAGCAGCTTAGAGCCTATGTCTGCGGCACTGCAGAATGGAGAACTGGGTTTGGTCCTGGAACCTCCTGCAACTGCAGGAAGTTCTGGGATTGCTGCCTTGCAGCACAAAAAGTTACACATGTGCACCAATGTTTGCAGCACTAAGCCCTACGCTACAGTGAACATACATGTCATTTTGACTTGTAACCAAGTTCTGGTACTATTTGTAGTGCATTAGGTTATGCCCACATACAAATATTTGCAGAATGGGATCTAGCAGGACCAGTCTTGTAGGCTTTAATGAGACAATCTTTCTATTAAGTCATCACTATTCTTGTCTGTCTATCACAGGAGTCTCAACTTTCCCTCCTGCACACGTGCTGGCTGTCCCTGCCAGCTCCTGCAAGGGTGCGCACACATTCTCTGCCGCCTGGCTCCCCCAATGAGGCAGGTAGCCCACCATCTCCTACACACAAGCCCGCCTGCCTCTGTGCCACCAGCTCCGGGTTTCAGCCCCTCAGCAGCCTGCTGACCCACTCCCGCCCCTCCTCGGCAGGCTGCCCCCAGCAGCTCTGGCTCACAGACCCCTCAGCAGGCCACCCCCGCAACCTCCTGCACCTAGACCATCTGCCTCCGTACTGTGTGGTTCACAGCCTACCTTGCTTTGTGCACGGCTCATGGCCCCCCTGGCAGACCGCCCCTGCCAGCACAGGCTCCCACCACCCCCACCTCTGGCAA